GCAGGTTAGGTATTAGTTGAAGTAGAAGTCCTCAGAGATAATACACCTTCTGTTAAAGAGGACGTTCATCATCCTGCACTGATCATGGAATTCATTACATCCGGATCTCCAACGAAATTCCCATTTGCTAATTCTCCACGGTTTAACTTTCCTGAAATGTACACAGCCTTGCAAGATGTTAATTGGACGAAGGTGATCAGTGCAGTTAATGTTGATGTCGCTTGTACCGCCTTGTATTCAGTTATCAATAACATCTTTGAGGTCCATGTCCCTAAATGTAAAAATAAAATGTTTTCGTATCCCCCATGGTTCACACGTGAAATTATACTTAATATCAAGAAGAATGACATAGCAAGAAGGAACTGGAAACGTGACGGTACTAAGTTTTCTTATGATCAGTTCAGTAATTTTAGGAAGCTCATTAAGAACCAGATCAGTGCTGCCTACTCCGCTTACGTCCAATCGGTTGAGGATGCCATTGTCAATGATCCTAGCAAATTCTGGTCATTTGCCCAGATCAAAAAACAGCAATCTAGAATCCCCCAACGATGACGCTTAACGGCAATGTCTGCGATACGCCTCAGGATATAGTGGACAGTTTTGCTACCTTCTTTTCAACAGTTTTTATCCCGTCTGGTCTACTAGGGTCATCTCCTCCAACAAATAATTCTACCGATATCATTTCTTTAAAAAATATAAGTGAAGAAAACGTAATTAGGGCTTCGAAAAGATTAAAGAACAAAATGACGTCTGGATGTGATGGTATTTCAAGTTTTTTCGTTAAAGATTGCATTCATATACTAGCGAAACCGCTGGCTTCCATATTCAACCTAATTCTAAAATCAGAGACATATCCAAATATCTGGAAGACCTCTAAAATATGTCCTATTCACAAAAGTGGAGATATCTCTGATATTTCCAACTATCGCAAATAGCAATCCTGTGCAATTTCAGCAAGTGGTTTGAGATCATCGCTTATGAAACGGTTTACTGCTCGGTCAGTATTATTATTAATCAGCATGGGTTTATGAGAGGCAGATCTACGGTCACCAACTTGGCTCTGATTACTCAGTACATTTCTGAAGCACTGGACGGTCAGGGACAAGTTGATGTCATCTACACAGATATTCAGAAGGCGTTTGATCAAGTTGATCTTTATGCACTTCTGGATAAGCTTAAAACAGTGGGTATTTCTGATCCAATGCTGTCGCTCATGAATTCATATTTGAGGGATTGAAGGTTATTTGTCGAATATGTTGGTCATAGGTCGAGTTACTATCGGGCCACGTCTGGGGTACCTCAAGGGTCAAATCTAGGTCCATTATTGTTTTTAATATTTATTAATGACTTGTCTTTTGAACTGAAGTGTTTCCATTTGTTTTTCGCTGATGACCTTAAAATCTGCACGTCAGTCAAGACAGTCGAGGATTGCGTCATGTTGCAAGATGACTTAGCTCTAATTTCGTCATGGTGTTCACGAAACTGTCTCAGTCTGAATGTTTCGAAATGTAAAGTTATGACTTATACAAGAAAAGTTAACTATTTAATTTATGATAATTATAACATCAATGGTCAGGTTAGAGACAGATGCACCTCTTATAGAGACCTTGGAGTCATTTTTGATACCAAGCTAACGTTTACTGAGCATATACTCAATATCTCGTCGGCTGCCACTGGACTACTTGGTTTCTGTATCAGAAACTGGAAGGGTTTCTCCAATGTTGATACATTAATGACTTTATTTTTGACTTTTGTCAGGAGCAAGTTGGAGTATGCGACTCTGATCTGGTCTCCTATATACCAAAATTCTGTCGTGATCCTTGAGGCCATTCAATGTAAAGCTTTAAAGTATTTTCACCTTACATGCACAGGTTCTTATCCAGAAAGAGGTTGTGACCATAGTGCCCTATTAGAGTTTTTCAATTTGGATTCACTGTCAACAAGACGAAACATATTTGCTTTGTCGTTTTTGCATGGCCTCATTCACAATAAAATTGACTGTCAAAATTTACTTGAAAAAATATGTTTCAGCGTTCCAAGGCTAGGGAGTCGACAACAAACGGCATTCTATTGTCAAGCTAGCCGTACAAATGTTATGACAAAATCGCCAATTAATCTCATGTGCTGCGTCATGAACAGTGTTACTGAATCATGTGATATTTACAGTGACAGTTGTGCATCGATTATTAACTGCTATAGATCATCCAATCTTATTTAGAATGTGTGATACTATAGATTTAAGTCCAAGAACCATGTCTCTTTAATTGTCATTTTTTTCAGCGTTTCCTGTAATTGTGTTTCACCTGTTGGAAATAAATAAATAAATAAAAACTCCACTTTATTCAAGGACACGCATTTTTCTATCCAGGGCCCTGATGATGTTGGCCACTAAATTAAGAGCAGTTGTAGTAGTATATGATTTTTCTGAACCCTGACTGGGAGAATCTCACCCGATTCCAAAAAATCTAAGATTTGCAAATAAATGACTTTCTCCGAGATCTTTGACAAAACGCTCAACAGACTGATGGGCTTAAGATCTGAGAAATCTGCAGAGTTCCTGGCCTTGCTATTGCTTGTCTCCAAGATTAGGAAAGTCACCCTTCTCTAAACACATTGATAATATGGGCCTAGAAAGGTAGTATAATAGGGAGAGACAGCTTAATGATAAAAAGAAATACATCGTCAATACCACTTGCATTTGACTTAAGGCCACTGACAACAGTTTTGATAGCGCTAGGCTCAACCAGAATGAAGGAAAATCTCCGATTGCCGAACTTTTCGTTCATCACTGAGAGCCAAACATTGATAGCTGAAGCATCATGATTCTTAGGGATATTCCCAAAAAAAAGGGAATTTCATCAAGTACTTTTGGACATTGTTTAATCCGGGAGATCGTCCGGCTTTCCCGAATTATAACGTCATCCGAGCTGATAGATTAACTGGACGGGGTGGCGACTTAGCAGTAATAGTGAAACGTGGTATTGACTACCATAGAAGCACAAATGCCGACAGGCAGAGCATTGAGGCGGCTTCCGTCGAGGTTAATATGACGGAAGGTGTCCCTTTGAAGATCACATCGGTGTATGTCAGGTGTGGTGCCAGGCTGCACGAGGCGGACCTTGAAGTCCTTATGGACTACCCTGGTCCGCTTATTGTAGCGGGGGACTTCAACTGCAAACACCGAGCATGGCATTCTAGGTTGAATTCCACCAGCGGGATCCGACTGTACAATCATGTGATACGCAACGGCTACCTCATACACAGCACTGAAGAGCCTACGCACCACCCATTTAATCACCTTCAGGCACCAGATGTCATCGACCTTGCAATATCTAGAAACGGGTTTTTTTTTTTTTTTTAACATGTAATTGGCATTGGAAGTTATCCATTTGCCACAGATGTGTGTTACTTATATTTCTCTAATTATGGACAAACACACGACGTCACAACATCCATGGCGAAGGCGAGATTCGAACTCGCGGCCCGGCCGGTCGGCTGATCAGTAGCACGACACTCTGACCAACGCGGCCAACCGAGGCCCCAAGTAGAAACGGGTTGATTGGGAACTATACAAGTTGTTTCTCAGAGAGTTCCCCACTATCCCGATCATAAGTGATCAGAACGGTAGAGACGCGGCTCAAGCGGAGTGGAGAAGCTTCGTTCAGCAAGCTCTGCAGCGAGCAGCTGTACTTCCTGTACAACAACACGGCAGACCTTTTCTCTCTGCAGACATTCGTCAAAAAATTTTTGACAAAAGGACTATGCTAGCGAAAAGGTCTTATCATCCTGATGACGTTCGCAGAGCGACGAATCTTGTTCATGAAGTAAGAAATGTTCTTCATAAATACCGCAATGCGCAATGGAACGATTTTCTGGCGGGGCTGCTTGACTCAAGCATTCCTCTCTGGAAAGTGGCGAAGTCGCTCAGAAACGGAAAGCGAGAACAACTTCCGCACATCCACGGTCCTGGGGGCATAGTCTTCAGGACAGAGGACAAGGTCGAGGTTTTCGCTGTGGAACGACAGTTCTCTCCCAACTATGATCTTGATAATGATCTCGACGCGGAGCAACAAAATGTAAGATCCGTCAGGAGATATTTTTGGGCCGACGGCGTCAGTAATCCCGGCGCCGCCATTAGTGATTCTTCCTCAGAAAATTCTTTTTCGAAAGATTCACAGTTGCACAGCACATCAGCTGCTTCTCCCGAGATCTCGCATTGCACACCAGCAGAGCTTCAAGGTCATATTAAAGACCTCAAGGTGCGTAAGGCGCCAGATTACTATGTGATTCCTTGTCACTTGCCCTAGCGACTGTGAGGTCTATCTATATGCTGATGACACTGCACTGGTGGCCCAGTCGCGTACCGGGAATCGGGTTCACGACAGGTTACAAAGTGCGGTGGATGAGGTATTGGAATGGGCAGATCGGTGGCTAATCAAAATTAATTACTCGAAAACGCAGGCTATCTATTGTACTATTGTACCATGGGGAAATTCTGCTGAGTATCTCGGTGTCACTCTTGACAGGGCAGAATTACACTGAAGCGTACAAAACTAAATTCCAAATTACGTTTCGGCAACTCTACCCTTTACTATGTAGCACCTCAAAATTAAGTTTGGTTAACAACGTTCGGCTATTCAAGATCCTTTTAAAAAAGCTCCATGCTTACAATTTCAGTTATGATTCCGATAAACTAATTGAGTCTTACCTTAGTAATAGAACTCAGGTGGTGAGATGTGATGGAGTGACATCAGCGGAGCGAAGTGTTAATATTGGCGTCCCACAGGGCTCCATCTTGGGCCCAATTCTTTTTTAATTTACATAAATGATTTACCTCTCAATAACAATATGGCAAACTTTACTCTCTTCGCGGATGATACGACCGTCTCTCACACCGCAGTTTTGAGCGCTCAATCTCACAGTCTCTGGCTGCGCAGGATGAGGCTGAGCTGTGGTTTTGCTCCAATAAGCTGTCGCTAAATAAAGATAAGACAAAGAGAATGGTGTTCTCCATGCGAAGCCTGCCTGGAGACAGTGATTTGGTTGGTGAAGCCAAGTTTCTGGGGGTTACTTTGGATCCAAGATTGCAATGGGGCCTTCACATTGACAGTGTTGCTGGAAAGGCCACCAAAGGTATATATGTGCCACGGTGTCTGTCTTCTTGTGTTTCTGTAGCCATATTGAGAATGGCTTACTTTGCCATTTGCCATTCACACAATCCTACGCCATTCTGGCTTGGGGGCATTCTTCAGCGGTCCATAGACTGTTCGCCTTGCAAAGAAAAGCAGTTAGGGTTGTGAGCCGTTTGGGCTACAGGGACGATTGCAGAGATACCTTTGTCAAGTTGGGAATCCTTACTGTGCCTTGTTTATATATTTTTGAAAATCTACTATTCGTTAAAAGAAACTCTAACTATGTAACTCATGGGGACGTCCATGAGCACAATACTAGGCATAAGAACAATCTAGTATCTCCTTATTGGCGACTGAGAAGGTGTCAAGATGGACCTGGTTATTGGGCGGTCAAATTTTTTAATGTACTTCCAGACAGCTTAAAATCGCTTCCGTTTAAAGATTTTAAAGTACAAATCAAGAAGATTCTTATTAATAACTCATTTTACACGTTTGAAGAGGTTTTAATTTTAACTGTAAATCTTAATATGTTATGTTAGCGTTATATCTTTATGAGTGCTAGTGCACTTGTTTGTAATTTTTTATGATCATTAGCACTCCCTTTGTTTTAATTCATTTCATAATTTACGTTATGTCAAAATATTCTTTCTAATTTAAGTTTTTTGATATTAGTTCAACTTGGTATTCTCAAATTGTTGCTAGTTTATATATGTATGTACGTATTTATGTATGCGTTTGAAATGCATGACCATGCTTTTTTACGCTCAGATACTTGCATGTAGGTATACTTTTTTTTTGTACAAAACCTTTCTTTTCTTGTTCTTTCTATTTTTTCTTTTTCTTTTTTTTTGTCAATTTTTCGGGGTTGAGTGGAAGAACACTATTTTTGTGAACTCCGCCTTTTGGATCATATGTCTATCTGTATAGCATGTTTCCAATAAAGTCGATTATTATTATTATTATTATTATTATTATTATTAATGCAATTCTCATTTGATCTACTGACGTATGTAAACATATTTTATGTATTGTGACATGAATAAAGAATTGAAGATGGTTATCAGACCAGCAATCACTTACGCATGTGCAGCATGGTGTTTTCTTGCCAAAACGCATATGCGTAATCTGCAGGTTTCGACCAAAATTACGATTCTTGCCACACACAAATTCCTAAATTATTTTTTGGATGAATTTAAAATAACCGAATACCAGTTAACAATAGCAATGCATCCCTTAAACAGGCGCACTTCACCCTCTTTGCTCTTCTCCCTTCCTTCTCGGACAATGACGAATACATAGAAGCATCTTGACGTTTAGGCAACACATACATACACAACGCATGCACATCAAGTAAGCAACAGCTAATTCAAGACATAACATAACACACAAGATCCGTAATACCCCTGCCGGTATTCGGACTTCGTCGATATAAAAAACCTTGCATGATGCATCTTTGATGCAAATCCTTGCGTGGGCATCAGCACTGCCAATCTTCTAGGCGTTTGTTTTACGGGAACGCCGCCCACGGAAAAGCAGAAATTTTATCGGTCGTTCGACAGCGTGGCGCACATTAAAAAAATCTAAAATGCCCTGTTAATGAATCGTGAAACGGCAGCGTAATGGCCGAGTTGACGATCGCCAATTTCTCACGAATATGCGCTAGTCCGATAAAGATAACATAGGCTAGTCGTAATAGTTTAATCATAAATAATCACGAGTTTTTTTTGCGAAAATAAAATCTTTTTTTTTAATCTTTATCAAATTGCACTGGTTTTTCTCTTAAATATGGCAATAATGCATTTTGAAATAACTTAAATGGCGTGTTCTTATTTCCTATCCTTTCTTTCGTTTAAATCGTAGTCTGTTTCAAAAGGTAGATGAAATGTCCCGAAATGGTGGTAGAAAATATACGATATCAACAAATTTGAGTTGAGTACAAGTACTATAAACTGAAACACATAATAGATAATAGCGTATACTTCGGCATCATTATGTAGGTGACCATTGGGATCACGGATTTGTGGGGAAGAAACCTTAGAGTGCAGGGTGGATCTCAAGTATCTAAACAACTCCTTCTTATCTTTTGATGAAACAAGATTTTGTTCATAATTGCGCTTGACGTTTTTCAAGTTCTTAGTTTTAAGTGACCTACCTAATACATCAATCCGTGACTTATGACGGCAGTATAAAAAATACGAACACGTACGTTCCATGTTATGCCGTATCAACTTGATTGTGCACGTTCTTTGATAACGAATTATATTCTAGAAGTGCGTGTCGTACGGATCGCATGTACAGCCTGATATTATATCGGGAAAATATATCAATGCTATAAAAATGCTATAAAGCAAGAAACAATAAAATCAAATTATTCATGGGACATAGTGGAGACCTGAAAATGCGTAATTGAAAGCACTATTCTGCAACTAGCAACATAGCTTTCGTGCGTTCCACTACGACGGTCAACCATGGTCAGATGTTTCGTCCTTTTTGATATATTTTTTTTTTCGGTATAAAGATGCATCAGCATGATCGAACGTCAGTACTGAATCTTAACCTCACTCTAATAAGTGCTTCGAAAATTGGATCGAGCGAACGCAGATGTGTATTAATCTTCGTGGAGAATACTTCGAAGAACAATAAAGTCATTTAAAACTACCTACCGTGTTGTTTTATTTCCATATGCAAAACTTAAAAGACATCCCTCGTAAAGTAGAACAAATACTCAGAGCTTAGAAACTATTCTCTATCCAGGATAAAAGGTCTATCGAAATAAGACAGGATGAAGCGCCATCTATTACCAGAATTCGTCACTGAACAGTGGAACCGTTGTCTATCGGTTAGAAGTGTATCCCCCTTTGCGTCTAATAATAATAATAATAGACGTATTCATTTATCTACTATTACAACTACAACTAGTTTAGAACGGGATATTTCGATATACGGTGTCCGCAAAGTTGGGGTTTTCCTTTTCAGAAACAACTACCCTTGAAATAACAAAGGTAATGTGTAGTGAAACGAGGGCGACCAAGTACCAGTTGACGAGAAGGGCTAAGTACGTCTCTGCCCGAAATCATACCGCTCCAACAGAAAATGAAATCAGCTGAAGCGCTACCGAGCAAACGCAGAAACCACATTGATCGTCTTACACTTAATGGCACATCTTCTAACAAGGAAGGCAAAATGTTGCGTTAAAATTCTAGGTATTGCATCCCGTCCAAACGATTTGGGAGAATAAACGGTCCAATGAGCATACCGTTCACCATGCCAGCCCAAACATTCACCGAAAATGTTTGTTGAAAATGTGCCCGACGGACAGCGTGCGGATTTTCTACTGACCAAACATGAGTGTGACGAAAGTTATTCATCCCATTACGCGTGAACGTAGATTCGTCTGTCACCAATATGCACTTCAAAAAGTCTTGATTATTGTCATGTTGATGCAACAACCACTCACAAAACCGCACTCTTGCTGGAAAATCGTCAGGTTGAAGGGCTTGTACACGTTGGACGTGAAACGGATACAGCCCCTCTTCACGCAGCGTTTGTCACACTTTAGTTTTTGATACTTGCACTTCTCTAGCCACGTCTCTAGCGCTTGTTGTTTTTTGAAACGCAATCGATTATACGAGTTCGTTTACCTCTACACGCGTGACCGTAACCGTCGGTTGAAGGTTGCATACTAACCTGACACACTCACCCCGACCCAGTTCTGCCGTCGGGTTGAGACCTTGTACCAGTCGGGGATATCGCGGCGGGTCGCGGCTACAGGACGGTATTCAGATATTTTTGATGTTACAGAGCCCTTTAACTCGGTTCCCTTAAGACATTGGTGTATATGGTACTAAGAAAAATTGCTTATGTTTTCAAGATCTACACGTCCTGTAAAGGAAAACCCCAACTTTGCGGATCAAATTTACGTATGCCAAAGATGAAACGTATACTATTGTTTCGCGTTTATGCGGAAATTGTCTAAGCATGTGTACAGGGTGCGCCATCTTTTATGTCGGTATGTAAACATGAAATAACTTTGTAAACGAAAAACTGGTTTCTATATATCGGGTATTTTATTAAATATGGTCCTTTACAATTTATTGGGGCTAGTTTTTGAACACAACATCTATCAAGTGGCCACCTTCATTGGCCAAAACAAAATGTGCCCGTTTGCTGCGTTTTCCATTGATTTTTCGAGCATCTCTGGTGGTATAGCGGCTATTGCGGTACGAATCTTTGCCTTGATATCTTCAGGGTCTGGGGCTTGGTGGCGTACACTTGACTTTTCGAATACCCCGCAAGAAGAAGTTCGGTGTGGTTAAATCTGGAGACCTGGGTGACCAGTCAATGTCACTTCTTTTTGACATCAGACGTCCAGAGAATTTTCGTTGCAGAAACTGGATTGTGTGGTATGGCGCACCGTCTTGTTCAAACCAGTAACCATCAAGACCTTTTTCACACATTTGTGGGCAGACATAATGAGTCAACATCCACGGATATCGATTTCCATCGATTGTTTCGTTTTCGTTGAAGAAAAATGGCCCAATGATGGTTTTGGAACATCTTGGTCGTTGATGAACAGTAAGTTGACGATCTCCCTCTGTTCCGTACTCAAGAAAATTCGAAACCAAACGACGGATAGTGTTGTCAGACGGTGCCTGTTTGCCACGATATTTTCGACGATATTCACGTTTGTTAACACAACTGAACGACGATTTTCAATGTACATTGTGACTACTTCGGCGCGATGTTTCGGTGTAAAGCGATTCATGACTAAAATTGTAGTAAATTGACGTTTCAGAAACACGTATAACCAAATCACTCGGTTGGTAAATATCAAAGTCATTCGATGTTTCAATACCGTCATAAAATATGGCGCACCCGGTAGTACAGGATATTACAGGAGGATTTGTGTGCTAATATCTGTATTGATGATAATTCCATTGGCTTCATGCCTCAAATACACTTACTTGAGATGTATCCAAAGCTAAAAATTAGTTGCGCATCCACTTTTTGTGTCGTTCCTCCATAGATGCCGTTGATGACGCTTACAGCGATCATAGCGAGCAAACCTGGAATGAACTATAGGGTTGTCCAATAGGGACGCAGGAAAGTAAACGTCAATTTGACATAGACGCCATCTTTGTTTTCTGTCACCGACATGTCATTTTGTTAGTTGAATGTTTACCATTGATCGCTATGGAGTCGTATTCGATTGAAGACCGCATTAAAGTTAT